TGTAATCCATACAGTATGTCAAATTATTGTTAGGGCGACTCAAACCACTTTTTCCTGGTGACTGATATACATAAATAAATTCTGAACAGAATCACTTAATACTTGTGGTGTAGCTTCGATTAGATTATCCTTAAGGGGCATACGGGTCAAATGTCAATTTGTTTATCTGAATCTCCCAATTTGTAACCCCAGCAAATTTTTGTTAAATTTGTATCTATTTATTTCTATTTTTATGTATAAAATTGGGGCAACTCATGCTGTGTATATTAAATTGCGGAATACAACCATGCTATTTTCTTGCCGATTTTTGGAATTTCCCCCATGAATGCAACGGATAAAAAATTGTGACCTTTGACCCGCATGGAAATTCTTGACAACCCAATCGATGTTGCACTTAAGAACAACAACTTGCACCTGCACATATGGGTGGTACTAAATTTCAGATTTCTGTGTTGCACTCTGTAACAAACCAGCGCTTTAAGTTGGCTCAACAATAATTTGACATACTGTATGAATTACATAATACGGTGTGGATGCGCCGTGACTAAATTTATCATTCATTTTTACAATTACTGGATTAAGATAATTAAATATGCAATAATTCCACGAGCAAGTAAAGTTAGATTTGCGGAAATATGTACATGTCTTACCGCTGTGGTCAGATAATTCAGGGGACTGAATTTTGCTAACAGATATGGGAGCAGAGCTGGAATCCTGGTGAATATTTTCTATCATAAAAAGTTGTGGGTTTTAAAATAAACGATTTTCATTAAATATAGGATAATTTTAGGAAATTACCTTCTATTATTTTTATAGATGGATTGGCCGAAATAATGTCGCCCAACTCATTCTTGTCAAGGGATGTTGAAGCAGGAACCCCCATCCTCCTTGTGTGGATTTGTCAGACTTACCATCTTTGGGGAAATTGGACTGGAAGTGTCCGTTTTGTACAAAAGATTGTAAGTATATGTATTTAGCAACCTCGTATTTAGAAATTGTAAAATAATAAATAATAACTAATGGCAAACATTACTCAAACATTAGATTACAAAAGTTCTTCAGAAGAATTGGGACAGCCCCGTAAACCTGTCACACAAACTACACGGTCATCATTTGACGGTACGTACATATCTCCAGAAATATATTAAATGGGAATGAATCAAATTAAATTACGCAATTCCCAATATTTATCTAAATGAGAGTGACGATACATATTTTAGAAACTAAACTAGATTGTATAAAAGCTTTACATTTTTTTCTACTGATGTAATTCTTCTAAATGTTTAGAATTTTAATATCCAAATTGTTAGTATTAACTTGTAAGACTCGGCTGGGTAGAAAATTCAAAATTAGTGTGCATTATGCTGCTTAAAATTTGATGTCATTTTGCTTACATGCAAGGATAATCTCTTCGTCGGTTTTGATTTTTTCAAAATTAATTGGTTACTACGAGTCATAGAGTGGCCGTGGAACTGTAGACAATGTCCCCATCATTGGCCCATAGTATACAATGCTAATGTCGCCAGATATCCCCACTGCTTCCGTGGCCGATGTCATCAGTTCCAAAGATTGGCAGAGGCAAATGCCTTTTTTATTTTCTCAGAACCGAGTTTAAAATTGGTGCTAGCAGTCAGCAATTCAAAACCAATCAATGTTGTCATTAAGTTCTAGACTCATTGGTTATTTTCATATTTTTTATATCTTTCATCATTTTAGATATCGTGCTTGATACCGAGCTTGCGATAGACGCCACCGGCACAGATTTTGATAATACCGATCGAGACAATAACGGTAAGTACAACTTGTCTATTGCAAATCGAATAGCATGCAGCTTCATTGTACTCTAAATAAAAATAAATACAATTTACTCAAGGTTGAGTAGAAAAGAGGACGACACAAGCAAAAGGTAAAATTTACCATTGACCCACCGTTGTTCAAAATGTATCCACCTGGTAGACAAATTTTACACAACTTTGGATAAATGTTACCATTTGGTTGTGTCGTCCTCTTTTTCACTCAACTTGAGTAAAGTGCATTTATTTTTATTTAGAGTGTAGCGTTGATTTCAACGCTGATTTTGACTTTGTATTTTGAAATAACAGAAAAATAGTTTTAAAATTAGGACCACAAGCGTACACATACGTGTAGGTACTTATACGCATATGAAGATATACGTATGTATGTATGTTTGATGGTACATATAATAATATGTATGTGTTATGTTCCCAAAAATGCAGATTAAAAAGCACTGCAAATATTAGAAAAACTCACTTATGCATATGTAGGTACATGAAAATGTGGATGAGTTGTTAGTCATGCCTTTGTGTGAAATTAACGAATAAGCAACAATTTTGGAATAATGACGCCTGAGCGACACAGTTTTGCTAGCAATACTCCTCAGCTCTTCATGGAAATACTTTAATGTACATACATATGTAAGTATGTATCACATTAATCCTACCCGTATTGATCAAGCATCCCTGGTTGAACGCCACAGCAATGTGTAAAAACCTTTACTCAAAGCTTCTGGTTGTTAACTTCTGGTACATCTTTTTTATTTTGTTTTCTCCAAATTTCAAACAATTGGCGAAAATCCCGCTCCATTTTTCAATTTTATTTAAAATTTTTGTATTTTTTAGTACGTTACAATTTTTAAAATCGTTAAAAATTATTTTTTGAATAATAAAGTTTAAATATGAATCCTTATAACAAATCATACTCCTCATGCAAAGATTTTTATAATCATGCAAACTGGGTTGGAATTATGAATAGTTCTTTTCAGATTTTCAAAATTAATATTTTTAAATTGTGCAATGAATTTATTATATTGGAATATATTGTACAAAATTAGTTGGAGTCTTGATGCATACATGCAATACATAGTTTGTGGGTCGCAAGTATAGAACCTGTAGGTATTTCCCCATATACTTGAAGCAATTCGAAGTAATCAAAACTTTCCGGAAAGTTCAAGCTGCATCGTGCACCCGCTTGTTCAATTTCCAAATTTTTAAAGTGGGCCCTGAAACTGACCCCAAAGTATTCCGTGTCTTGAAAGAAGCGGTTTTCCATTCTAGAATCCCATATACATAATGTATAAACTAGGCCTTGGATGAAATAATTACTGTTTTTCAGACCACAGTGTCCAAAGTAATGAATTAAGTTAAAAAAAACAGCCAAGAAATTTGATAGTGCAACAACCGCCAAATGCATGCAGCCGAGAAGTAAGTTAACCACGATCAAGAAAAATTTTTCAATACAAAATCAACTTACTTCAAATATTCAGGGACATGTAGTTCGCCTAGAAAATTAAAATTAGTTCGAGGTTCTATATTTGCGCCCCACTCTTTGTAGGCTGCTTTTTATCACAAGTACAGTTGACTGCGCTCCATCGTCCACGGTTTTTTCTATTTTAATTGTGAATGATGATTCTGAGTATGTCCAGTGCAGTTGCGTAGATGTGCGGAACATTAAAATGGCGGACAAATTGTTTTAACGCCGCGGGAGTTGGAACCCCTGTCAGGCATTTATTTTTATTAATTTTTACCATCTTTGTAAGTGTGGAGGGTTCGGAGACCACCATCCCTTTGAACTACATACGATGACCAGGTGACCGTATGAACGATATGAAAAGTGCGAAAATTTCTCACTTTTCATTCCGCATGCACGGACACCGGTTCATCGTAGGTAAATGGGACGGTGGTTTCTAAACCCTCTGCCTTAACAATTCAATAAAAATGCAAAACAGCAAATGCACAGACTGGGGCTTGATGTCAGTGAATTCGACTTTACAAGATGTCGAAACGGTTTAGATGAATTGCGCTACCAACCCAAATATTAGACCACCAATGCAAACAAGTCACTATTGGCTGAAAAATTAGGTTCTACGTCGAAACTTAGAACGAGTGATCCCTTTGATATTTTTTTTTAAATAGGAACGGCATCCATCCAAAATCTTTTATGGGTTTCACCAGGGTGCATAAACATTTTGTTGCCCGTGGTTTCTCCTAACTTAGTGATGCAAGGATGAATTTTTTCAAAAAAATTAAAAGTTCGGGAATTGCATGCAATTTTACCAGAGCAACCAACAAAATTCATGGCAAAATTGCATGCAATTCCCGAACTCTTATTTTTTTGGAAAAAAATCATCCCTGCATCACCCCCTTCCGAGAAATCACGGACAAAAAAAATGTTTATGCACCCTGGGGTCTCACCTATGCAAAAATGTAGACTTAAGATATAACGCACATTTGAGAGACTTGCTATGATCTTTATACCGCCACTAATTTCAAATTTGCACTTAATTACCCAGGGTGGCCAGACGATGAAGATTTGCAAAATGCTTCAAACATGATACCTGAAGAAGGGACACAATTCTTCACCATCGACGACATCATCGCTATAGAAGATCTTCCAGAATCTATAAAGGATTACGTTAGACCAAACACTCTAACGATTAAAATTCCTTTCCCTGAATTTGTCCCAATTTGGGACTTTAAGTTAAAACGTCATTTGAAAAAATCCAACTACGGAAAAGTTATTGACACTAAGCTGCAGTCGATGGATTTTCCGTGTTCGTTCAATGTCAAGACAACGTATCCCCTCAGCCCAAAGACTCAAAAAACAAAAGGCAACATTTCAAGCATTTTCGGGTACTGCAAGCACGCAAGACACGAACAGTTAAAACTTACTGATCCCTGTAAAACTACCTTCAGTTGCAAAATCAAAAACCATCCGGCCTTGCACCAAGATTCAACCGACGACACTGGACACAGACAAGCCACCGAGGTGGATGAACACGAGGAAGATGTCATAATCGAATGTGAACTGGAGGGGGAGTTTGTTTTGTTTCAAACACACAGCACGTGTAGACCTGCTAAAGCCGACCAACGTGATAAATTGAAAGAAGAACTCAAGACTTCAAGAAGCCTGAAGGTGCACATTCAGCACCATAGCGACATTCCAGCGCTTAGGCGGGTACACAACAATTTTACGGTATCAAGCGCTGAAGTGATGCGCAAAATACGATCTGAAGCCCTTTCCGATGGGTCAACAAGGTCGTTGGGATTTATCAACGCAATGTTACACGTTGCAGATAAACTGAATTCGGATCCCGAATTTCAAGACAGCACGAAGGGGCTAAGTGGATATATTCGGCACCAAAGTGCCTTTATCCCACATTACGTCGTAATGTTTTCTCCAATACAACTTAGATTTGCTTCTTTGTGCGACGAATTGTACCTTGACGCTACAGGAAGCGTCGTTCCTCCTACAGTGCTGGCAACCCTAAAACGGGTGCTTCTACATGTTGCAGTTGCCAGAGACTCCCAAATACAAGTCCAGACACCCGTTCCAGTATTGGAAATGTTGAGCACTGTAGGAACCGTGTCCTTCATAACTACAGCCATCATGGACTTTGTTTCCAAAGTCCGCAAGTGTAAATCTGGATGGACCCCACGGCTCGTGGTAACGGACTTTTGTCTCGCTTACTTGCACTCCGCATGTTTAGCGATTTTGGGTGAAAGCCTGGACACCTATATCAATAGGAAGTTTTCTCTGCTTACTAGCAAGCCGCTAGCAGATAAATCGACGATTTTGTTTGTGTGCTCGGGGCATTTTATGCGCGCAAATTCCAAATATCTACGCAAACATGCTCCCCCACAGTGCGTCTTCCCGGCGCTGCATGCGTTTGCACGACTAATCGAAACTCGCACCCCTGAGGAACTCGACAAGAACGTCGAGATCATAGTTCAGTTGTTTGGCAACCTACAACTAGAAGAGCACTTGGTATCCAGCTTCAAGGATTCGTTGATCGATGGAAACTCATTACCAGAGGACGTTGAGGAATGTTTGGCGATGCAGATGGACGACATCTTTGAGGGAATCGAACCAACGGAAAATCCAAAGCTGGAGAGAGAAAAGTCACATTTTTATTCATATTTCTGCAAGAAGTTAAGCAAGGTCCAAAAGGGTACGCCAGAAAAAGAACAATGCAATCCTATGTATAGTGAAGTGTGCCTGACAACCTTTCAACGTTGGATGACCTACTTGCCGCTGTGGAGTAAAATAACTTACTTTGAAAATGGACCAGCTCCCGCAAAGACAATCACCACAGGGGTGGTGGAAAAGAGTTTCGACAATTTCAAGAATTCCTTCCACACTTCAAAAACATTTTAGCCTGATTTAATACTGAAGCACTCCCAAGTTTCAGTTGGACTTGTAACTGAGGCGGAAATCACAGGAAGGAAGCCAATCCGGAAAAAGAAGCAACAAAAACCACCAAAGATTGGGTCCGAGGAAAGCTCTCATCAAAAGATTCCATTGGCCAAGTCCCTCCGCAAGCCTATGAAGTCTAAAGCTCAATTAGGAAACATTAGAAAACCACAGTTCGTGACAGCGACTTGGGGAAAAAAGTCGCAAAGAAAGCAAGACATAACAAAAACGTATCTTCCAAAGCTGAAAATGATGGCACAAGCTAAAGCTTGCGCCGATGCTGGTTTGGGTGCCACTCCAAAATCAAGTAAACCGCTTTCGATCCCAAGAGTGTTAAGCTTAAGCCCGTCAACTAATTCACCAGCTGGAAGGAGAATAAACACACAAACTTTACAAGAAACGGAAAGAATTGAACCCATCGAAAGGACCGAGATATAGGAAGTTGAGGAAGACGAAGAATTTGAAAAAGCACTAAAAGAGGCAAGATGTGAATTCAACATCAATGAACACATTTGGTGGACTTCTACAGCCCCAATTCAAAGTTTATTTGCAACTCCACTTGGCGGATTTGGCAGTGAACATGATCTGCTCTCCTTAGCGCCGGACTCATTTGTAAATGATGCGGTGGTCAACGCAGTTGGAGCATCCATCTTACAAGAATTTTTGCCACCATCTAAGTCGGGTCAAATGAAATTTATTTTTAGCAATTTCATGGAGCAAGACCGCAAGTCAGGAATATTCACCGCACGGCAAGACTTTCTTCCGGAACCTGCAACATTCGATATCAAAGGAGGAACCTTACTACTAATCAGCTTTGTGCAAAAGCACTGCTTCGTAACGCGTATAGATTTTCCAGCAAAGGAAATTGTATATTACGACTCACTTCCCGGGCATATTAAACCACACCAGAGACAAGTTTATTTGGAAACTGTAGCAACTGCCATTAACCATCATTTTGGACTATCTGTTAATTGGACGAAGAGACCAAGCGTTTGCCCTGTACAAGAAGGATGCGAATGTGCACTAATGTGCTTGTTGTTTCTCAAGGAAATTGTCACACCACTAGCAACATTTGATGGTATTGGTGCAAAAGAATGCCTAGAATACAGGATTTCGTCAACTTCTAAATTGTTGCACACCACCGAAGTTGGGAAGAAATTCTTACAAGATTGCCAAAGAGAGGGTCATGGAGTTATGGATAGATTGCTTCATAGAAAAAGGGAAAGGAATCGACAACTCATAATCGAGTCAAAGATTGAGACATTGGCACGGTTAAGAGTTAATTACTTCACATCCTCCGGCTCAAATCCTGATGGAGCAGACGAAATCATCGATCTAATACTGGAAATACATTCGGACATACAATCGGGGTCTAAGAATTTTTTGGGTAACAACAACTGAAAACCAAGTAAGAATGAATATAACTCTATGAATTATTACAGATAAACTAATTCAATGTCTTGGTAAAATATATTAATTTTTCAACTTTTGCCCTTAGATACTGCCGCTTGATTTACGAAAGCCCTGTTCGACAAACATTTTCACCATGAATTTTAGAATTCCAAATTTATCATTTTAACCTGTCACTGAACTCAATGTGAACACGGATACAAGATTTATTGGTGGCGTATTTACCCAGTGGGCGATAAGAACCATCTAAGAAGACACCTCGGCGAAGGTATTTCTTTTATTTTTCCCAAATTACAATTTTTTACGTCTGAACCTTCTCGTAACTACACCTTTGGGTTATTTCTCGATAGAAGAATTGGTTCCCATATTTACATAATGAATGCAGTAACAGGTTAAAATGATAAATTTGGAATTCCAATATTCTATTTATTGTTCATCGTTTTATAACCCAACAACGTTACCATACTCCATCAACCAATTGAATCAAAAAGTGGTTTTATTCCGTCCTTTAGTTAACTTAGTGTTACAATCTATCCCTCAGGATAGATTCTTAATTCTTGAAACGTTAGGTCCAAGCATAATGAAACCATGTGTATACATATGTACATATAAATCCGTACATTTATACCGATTTGTATTTCATGATAAATAACATGTGTAACTTACTTTAGGTAACTATGATCAAATTTAACATACATACATTTTACATACAATTAGAGAAGATAAACACTTACATTCGTATTGTATAATTCAAATTAACATGAAAAAGTCGATGATGATGAGAATTTTATATAGGTATGTAGGTATGTAAATGTTTTTAAAAGAGAAAGTGATGCAACTTCGAGTTTTAAACTAAATCAAGAATAATTTATTGTACTGCTCGGCAGCAAATTCTCCACTACAAATATACCACATTAGCTTCTTTCACATATATTATTACACAGCCTTATAATATGGGTGTGTATGTATTTTTAATTTATGCATTTCGACCTTTTCATAATAATATCATTGTTTATATTAAGGAAACGACTCTTTTTAAGGCTAGGGAATTTGAGTGTCCGACTCTTTTGTAGTCAGCTTTTCTGATGTGTTATGTATGTGATATGATTATGTATTTGCAATATTGAAATTACAGAAGTTCACTGTCTCTTGAATAATTCATATAATCGTGGCAATAAATGAACAAATGTATTTATTAACCAAAGAGACGACGCCAAAATATGTATATGTATACAATTTATCAGTTGGAAAATTTTCATGAGTTATTGGTACGAGTTCTTTAATTTATTTCAGTTATATGCTAGCAATGCAGGCGTTTTACATAAAAAAGTCGGAATTAATGGGGACAAATTTTATTCTGTTCATCACAAAAAATAAGCAAACTAGTACTTTTTTTTCGTTTTCCGAAATTCTATGATTAAAACTACAGGCATCAATCTTTAGGGTTTTCCAAGCTACATAAAACAATTAGTTTGCAAGATTAATTAAGTATTAATACAAAAATACAAAAACCTTTTCATCAGAGCAGTTGTCACTAAACTTGAATTTCATAATGTTTTGCAAGCGTTTAAGCCCATCATAAAACCAAGCTCCTGTACACATAACTTTTAAAATCTATCGCAATCGGATTTTTAATAAGTATATCATACTAATTTATTTGAATGATTTACTTCCTACGTTCTTAAAAATCCCGTGTTGATCGTCACCGCTCCCTTAGCCACTTCACCAAATAGTGATAATTTTTCATGCATGGAGATAAACCTTGCCCTCATGGCGACAAATTTTCACTGATAATTTTAATACACTTTGGTGATAAGCATTATTCGCTCTGTACACCCAAACATGTAATGAGCATACCCCGGACAAATATTTTTTTATCCTACCCTACTCGTGTTGAGCTCAACATGAGTAGGGTAGGATAAAAAAATATTTTTCCGGGGTATGGTAATGAGGGTTAAAATTATGCACTTGATTGCAACTCTCCTGGTTTTTCTTAGTGAGGCAAATACCAAGCAACTAAAAAATTACTAAGTATGCATTTGACCCACCCCAAAAAAGTGACCATCTGCGATATCTCAGTCGTTTCTCAACCGATTTTGATGAAATTTTGCACCGGTCATTGTTACATAATCTAGAAAAGGGATCTGATCCGACTAAGCGATTCTGTGATTTTGACCGGAGTTATGGGCAAAAATGTGGCCTTAAAAACACATTTGTAATTATTGCTAATTACTGGCAAACTTTATCAACAGTTTGATACCCACGAATTGTAGAGCAGTTTATCCCGAAAATTTTAAGTATAAATATATCAAAATCCGCTAAGAATTGGCTTAGTTATTCCAATTTGAAGTTCAGAAATTAAAAGTAAGATATTAAAGAAATCGTCATTGACAACGACGCAAGACTAACAACACAAGAATTAGAAAACACTCCCACAAAATAACCATTCAAATTGTAAATGCAACAGTATTGCTAAACTGCGTTACATGGTCATTGTCTTACTCCTTTACACCTGGGATTTTGGATTTACGAAGTTTAGCCCGTCGTCAGCATGCGACTATTTCCTCCACCTCACCTTGGGTTTTCTGGGCCTTAGTCCGTCAGGTTTCGGCCTTTATGGGCTTTGGTCCGTTAGTCCTTGGCGCGGTGGAGCAAACGACAAAAGGCAGTTGCAAGCAGTGGCCACGGAAGTTGTGGCGGCAGATGACGGGGACATCGAACAACCGAGGGAAGGTCCATCTGTCCACACCCTTCCACGGCCACTCGTGGAGAGAAGAAGGAGATAAAAATGAGTAGAGCTAGATAAGATGACAAAATGAGTGACTAGCCTCCGTCCCCATACTTCCGCTGCCACTGGTTGTAACCAAATCGTAATTTGAATGACATCATTATAAGAAACAGTAGCAAATCAAAGACTTACTGTTTGCTTATGCTACCGCCCCGCCCGTTTTTCGTTACTTTTGCAACTTTTACTCCCACCACTCCATCACTCTTTACTTAGGCGACCCGCACTACCCACCATTCTTTATTTGTGCAACAAGCACTACCCGCCACTCTTTACTTGTGCAACAAGCACTACCCGACACTCTTGATTTGTGCAAGCACTACCCGCCACTCTTTACTTGTGCAACAAGCACTACCCGACACTCTTGATTTGTGCAAGCACTACCCGCCACTCTTTACTTGTGCAACAAGCACTACCCGACACTCTTGATTTGTGTAACCAGCATTACCCCCCACTCTTTACTTAGGCGACCCGCACTACCCGCTATTCTTTATTTGTGCAACAAGCACTACCCGCCACTCTTTACTTGTGCAACAAGCACTGCCCGCCACTCTTTACTTGTGCAACAAGCACTACCCGCCACTCTTTAATTAAAAAAACAGCTCCACCCGCCAGTCTATACCTATGCAACCGCCCAACTTTTACCGTCGCATGCTGACGATTGCAATTCATATACATATACCAGCATAAGAAATGGCGTTCAACATTCCGTATCACATACTCTGCAATGCCGTTGGAGGTGATCTGCGAGGTGAAAATTATTGCGAAGCAAAATCGGTGTATGGAATCAAATTAGGAGAAGAAAATACATTCCACGCACGAAAATTCTTGAAAGAAGTCATATCATTTTGTATCGAAGTAAGTAAAGAAAAATATACAAACAAAATTCAAGTGATGAAATTAAAACTGATCTCATTTTCGAAATAGGAAGTTAACTGTACCGAGTCCACGTGTTTGTCACCGTTGACACCATTCATTGGACTGCGAGACTCGGAGATCATTTCAGTACTTGAGGATGAATTAAAACAAAAGCCAACTAATTATGTAGTACCGGATCCTAATTCTTTCTACTGAAATATTGTAACAAAACTCGGATTGCAAAACACTCGAGCAAACCGAGAATATCTACGTGAATTTGTGAAGACGTCATATCTGGTACAAAAATTTAATATTATAAAAACAAAACAAGTATTATTCTAAAGATTTGGTTATTGTGAAACTTCTACAGGAATTTCTTCAAAGAAAAACACATCAAGAAATCCTGACATCATTTAGCTTGTCTGATAACCACAACGTACATGCTAAACATGGAACCTCACTATATGGGGACGTGGCTTTGAGATTAAACCTTCCTAACATCGATGTAGTTCGCTTCAGCCTGTCCAGGTGGAGTAAACATTTTTTATTTTGTGGGGACGACTGGGAATGAAAGAAAGGGAAGACGAAAAGAGCCCATTACAAGACGCCCTCCACGTAAACGACCCCACCTTGACATCGAAGATATCCCTTCCTCATCAATGCTGCAATTTTGTACAATAGAATTCCATACAGCAGTTCATCAGTATCCAGAGAAAGTTTGTGACCTGTGCCATCGCATGCAGTATACATTGAAAGCTCTCTCAACTGCTGGATTAAACTTTTTGCACGAACACTTTGTATTCCTATACATCTTCATTTATGCCAAAGATGCCATCGAGCAGCAAAGAAGAAAAATATCCCACCTCAAGCCTTCTTCAATGGAATGAAACAGGAAACAATACCAGAAGTGATTAAGTGCCTATCGCCTCCTGAATTTCAACTCATTTCTCAAGTCCGGCCATTTATGAAGATATTTTATCTCAGCAAAGGACGAGGACAGCAAGCAATAAAGGGTTCAGCCATTAATTTTCCAAACTCCTTGAAAGAAATATGCCAAGAACTTCCTCTACCCAATTCCAGTACAGAGTTTGTGGTCGTCCATGAAAAAATTGAAGGAATTCAAAATCAGCATGACTTCAGAGTTCGCCCATCTGCCGTTTTGAAAGCCCTGCAATGGTTGAAACAAAACAATTGGCTGTATAGAAATGTTGCCATATGTGAGAGGGATGAGAGTGCAATTCAGCCAGTAATAATCGAAGCTTCAGTTACTCAAGCAATGGTGCCACACAAGAATATACCAGTTACTATGCTTACGTACTCGAATTTAGGACAAAACAGGCGAATTCTCCGAGCGTCTTGCAACCAAGCATCACATGGTAGATTTAATGAAGCTGGCCGAGGCAAGCAATGCACTGCAATGTCCATGACGAGCTTGGCCTACTCTTGCATTCAAAATCCATCGACTTGGACCACAGATACCCTAGATGATATTCTCCTTCGTGGCGACAAGTTATACCATGAAAAAGCCACTCGCGGAGAATTCCTTACAGCTTTTGAAGCCCAGGGACAAATTGATAACATATTTGGAGCATTGACTGTGGCAGTTGCTATTGATGAATCGGATGCAAGAAGTCTCAATGGACAACTCAATCGTCTGGCTAGACAATTGAGTTCGCAAGTTCTCCGCCTTGATGCAGCATTGAGAAACTTCATAGAATCTGAATACACCACTGCAATACTTACTGTTGGATCGTATTCAATGGCTATCATGAAGTACGTAGGAAATGTTTATCTGTTCGACAGTCATTCAAGGGGACCGCATGGACGGGTTGCTGTCAATGGCTTAGCATGCATTATCGAATTCGAAATATCATTTGCAGCAGCTGAAATTTCCAAACTTGTGCATAGGAATCTGGAGCCCAAACATGATCCAAAAAGTCAGAACACTGCTAATTATCTATTCAATATCACTCCAGTAATTACAGTAACAGAGTATCGAAGAGAAGAAGAAGAAGCTGTTGTCTCCACCAGTCATAATTCAAGACATTCAAATCCTGCACCTGCCACGTCTCAAGACACTGGTGACCGATTCAGTGATTTACTGCACGAAGCTCAAGCATTTGGGGAAAACGTTATGGTGGATTCATTGCTGCACAATGTTGACTTCAGTGTTCCTGATATTGGAGAAATTGTTACTTCCTCCAAGGCACAAAATACACCATCACTTCTTATCGAAAAGGAGAAAGGTCGCCCCCTATATCCTAATCATGAAGCGTTTCTAGAAGAATTAAGTTTTGTCAACCTCTTTCCCTTTGGGCGCGGAGGCGCTTCTTCTGTTCGACCTGTCCAAATCACACCACTCGACTATTTCCAAGCCCGAGTTATGTCCAATGACACACGATTTTGGGATAATAGTTTTCTCTTTTACGCCCTCAATAGAATGGAAGAGCACAAAGTGAAACAAAAGATTGCAGTATGCGGGCAAATGCGAACCAGTAGTAATGGCGTACAAAATTATGATG